TACCAATATGACAATGAAAAACATCCAATTAACACATTATAACAGGCTGTTTTATTTAATACCTTCATAAATATTCAAGCTTTTATATATCACATTTAAGTATATTCTAGTGTACTAATTTACATTCAACAGATATTCAAATCACTACATGCTCACTGCTTCCTATCTTTCGATGCCACTATTCCTTTCCCATCTAAATCCTTCTCTTGATTTGGTTCACCAAGTTCCTTAAGTGTGTCTGTCCTCCAAATTTAGATGGAAAATATTATATGTTTCTATCTCCTCAGCCCTTAGACTCCTATCCTACACAGCTCCAAAATTCGACCTGTATCTTTAAAAGAAAACCAGCTGTATTGGATACAGGTCCTTCCCTCTAGTAGATCTGTGTCTCTCAAGCATTGCGAGATTATGGGATATTTTACTTTACTTTCCAGCTCAGTCTCATTCTCAGGTGGCAACTGACTACTTAAGCCATAAAGTTCTGTCCCTTGGAGGTTGGGAGCTCAAGTCTGTAACCTACTCCACAAAGTTCAAAATCTGGCAAACGTTTTGAGGAGACCTGTTGTGTGAAGGTAACAGGTCTCTCCTATAGCGGAACTTTTCCTTACATTCTGCCTTCCTAGTCCATTCCCAGCATCCTTTACCACAAAAAGACTCAGCCAGTGTCCTATGGGGAAAACTACCAATGATTTGGAGCTCCTCTAAATGTCAATACTTCACATCTGCCTACATGTTTGTCACGACCTCCAATAGTTTCTTTCCTTCAGTGGAGTCCTTCTGCCTGTTCCAGTGATGAATATCAGTCTGTACCCAGAATCAACAAATATCCTGAGGGAAGAAAATCACCAGAGATCTCAGCTCATCTAGAAAGGGCTCTTTCCTCTTTGGAATTTTAGTTAATATAGTCCTTGATGCTTCCGCAGTTCTCCAATGTCTTTAAAAGTATGCTTCGGTGTGTGTTTTATCCAGTGTTTTCTAGTTGNTCCAAAAACCATTTATATTTTCTTTTCTATGACTTTCTGAATCATTTATGGGACCTCTTCTACATTATGATAGCACTTTGTCAGTTACATGGGTTGCAAATATAATTTCTCAGTTTATCACATTTTCTAAGTTTGTTCATAATGTTTTGCTAGGTAAAATTTTTTGATATTCTTACACTCAGAGTTGTGGGTATTTTCTATTATGGCTTCTGGAGTTTGCTCATACACAGAGAGATGTTCCCCCCTCTGATAGTGTTACTTTAGGATCCCGTTTGATTATATTTTCTTGGAAAATATGCATGCATGTAAGTATATGGAAGGTTGTATTCTTTCCAAAATTCCCTTTCCTTTACTGAGAAACAATTTTAAAAATAAAAAGTAAGCCTTCACTTTTGATGTGATAACCTCAGTAGTGAGGGACTCCATGGGAAGGAAGGAAGCCCCTGCTTAGGATGAAGCAACCTTGGGAGAGTGTGAAGTAATGAGAAGCTGCCCCCTTAACCCATTTCTGACAACAGAGGGAGAAAGCATTATAGAAAGCCTGACTCCCTTTCAAAAGCTGGGTACAACTAGCATAAAGACGAGATCTGACTGTATTTTTCAGCTTTTCCTGCTGAGGATCTGGAGGATGTACCAAGACTAAAGTAGGGAAAAGAGAAGGATAGACGGTGATCCTGATTACTTTCCAATAAACAGGCTTATGAAATAAGAGCTGGGAATTAAAGTGCTTCACTTGACAGGCCGATGTTAGTGATGGTGGTGGAGGAGGGAGGTCAGGGAGAATAGGGACCAGTTGTTAATATAAAGTTTAAGATCAAATTGTGGTAAAATGCTCTGGGAAAGCCAAGGTTACAATGTCTTGAACCAAAATGATAACAAGTGGTCAAATAACAGTATCTGAACTTGTAACTCACACAACAGTGATTAAGGCTCAGAAATGAAACTAGGTCTAGACCCAGAAGCAGGTAGGTCTTTAGGGTTTAGTGTACTAACAGCTTATTTAAATGACTGTCAACCATTTTCTTTAAAGCTGCTTCTTCATGTAAATCTCATGTCTTCTTAGTCCTCTAGCTAACTCAGAGTCACCTAGAAGAGCATGGCACACATGTATTAGGTATTTAATAAATATTTGTTAAGTAAATTAATGGCTCACATGATAGTAGCTAACATTTATTAAATGCTCTATTTGGAGGACGTAGTTCTAAGTCTTTTTTCAAAAATCCAGTTTAATCCTCGCATCATCCCTTGAGGTAGTTATTCTTACACTCATTCTATAGAGTGGAAAACTGAGGTTCAAAAAGGTTAGAGAGCTATGGACCTGGGTTTGAATCCTGGCTTGACTAGTTTTCTGGCACTTGTGCGATACAGAAAACGAGAAAAAAGGAGAGTTAATCTATGACATAAGGGAGATCTAGAAAGAAAGAATAGAAAAAACAGAGGGGAGAACATCATCAGAGAAATAACAAAGTACAATTATAAAAAGCTGAAAAAAACACTTTTCTAGATCAAAAGGGCACAGTGACTCTCCAGCATGAAGAAGAAAACACACATACCAAGGCATTCTAAACTACTCAAAGAGGAAAAATGGTTGCCTACAAAGGAATAAGAATCAGACTGGGATCAATTGTCTCACCAGCAACATTGATAATGAGAGGAAAATGAGTTGGAACTGATACCTATTCAAATTATCAATCAAGTGTGAGAGCAAAATAAAGGTACTGTCACATAAGCAAGGACTAAACTTTCCTCCTTCCAACACAGTGAGAACCAAGAGAGAGCATAAGATATGTCAGAACCACACACACAAATATCCTCTCCTCTCTCTGTTAATAAAATCAGGACTTGATCTACATGAAGCCACATTCCTAGAAAAGTCAGTATGCTCATGTCCTTGGCCTCTTAATAGAGCTCAAGGGAACAAAGAGATGGAAGATTGTGGACTCTCGTTAGCCTCTTATTTTTCAGCACAGTATTTCCTACACTGTCAGAGAGAAATAGTCCAGGTTCAAGGCACAAAATAGACTCATGTGAACTTAAAAGATGAAAGAAAGCTTAGCACTACTTCTGCCCCAGATGATATCCCTATTTTTATGGATGGACACGCTTAAAACCAGAGAGAAAGTAGTAAAAGGTCTTTTGCTTCTCAGTGAGACATGCTGGGGATTGTCCATATATTAATATTCAATTTTCACAACTCTACAAGGTAGAACCACACCCCTATTTTGTAGAAGAAAATGACACCAAAACTTTTTGACTTGACCTAGGTCCCAGAGCTAATATGTAGCATTTTTATACATGTTAACATTTCTTGAATGTCTAATAGAACTTTTAGGAATATAAAGATAATAAGGTTTCATTCACGCATTAAGGAATTTATAACCTCTTAGGAGACACAGGATATGTGACAGTTCTTGATAATGATATACATTCTGATATTTGTAATGAAATGACTTTAACTGCAGTAAGAGAAGAATTAATACACTAGCTGTGAGAAACCAGAATTCATTCCATATGTCAAGTAGCTTTTTAATCAGTGAAATTGATAAATTAAGAAATGTTTCATTTCCGGCACTTGTAATAGGCCTTCCATAATGGACAGTTAGTTACCTTACACTGGATCTAGTAGTAGTTATTTTAGTTCAAAAGTTAACCAGAAATGCAATTAAAAATCAATTATATACTTTAACCAGACATAGGGATTGTGATCATGTGTAGTGCCCAATGTACAGAACATTTGAAGTATTTAAGTGACAAAATAGAGGTCTTAAAATCCTAAGAAATTGCCTTCTTTATATTTTCAGATTTAGTATAGGGATAATCATTAACATACTACCTTTGAGTAAATAAACGCAAAATGCTCTCTAAGCGTTAGTGGTCACCCACCACACATGCGTCATAATTCATATCTTGTATTACAAAATGACAAAATAATAGCAAATATTGGAGCATACAAGTCAATGTTTGCTATTTAATGAAAAAAAAAATACCTCTCTTTCTCAAGTTCTTCTAAATAACCGGTGTTTTCTCTGCTTCCATTTACAAACCCTCTTCTTGGAAACGACCCCATAGGAACAGGACTGCACTCTCCTGAACGACTAGATACAGATCCTTCCCGGCTTCCATAAGAACGGAGGGACATTTTTGACCGTAGTTTCACTCCAGGGAAATTACTGCTATCTAAGTTAAGCTCTAAATAAAATACAGACAAGTTTTTATATAACAATTGCTTTAAGTAGTCTAAAATATTGCTGATGCAATTATATTGTTTTAAAAGTGAAATCTTAGGTTCATATTTCTGATGCAATTATATTGTTTTAAAAGTGAAATCTTAGGCTCATATTTTAGCCCTCAATTCTAACGCATTTTATAATATAATTGAAAATACTTTATATATACTACATTAAGCCTGTAGGGGTACTAAATTGTGGCAGCTATTGGGCAGCCGATTTATGCAAGGAGCAGAGGAAATCCTTATCACAAATGCTGATGCTCAGAGAAATTTACTGACTCCAGGTTGTAGGTAAATGTAAAGGCAGTAGTGAGAGTAAGTAGAAGAATTCTGAAAAAACCAAAAATCAGAAAAGGACCAAGCCTCAGAGAGGCTGGCTCTCCGAGGTCTTGCAAAAGGACAATGACCTGGAGCATAGACTCTATAAAAGGACACACTTCTTGGTGCAGAAGCTTACAACTTTAAATTTCTAACAGAGGAAATCACAAATACACATGACTGAATAAACAACTGTTTAGAAACAGAATGGCTAACCTTTCCCTCCAAAGTCAGTTTGAGCTGGGGAAAAGGAGTGTGTTAAAGGAAAATTAGACGAAATGTCCTTCCTTAGATTCCCGCTAGATAATCTGGGGACCCAACGTCTCTGCCTAGCTTCAATTATAATTGAGAGCAGTTCCCTGTTTTGACATTGGAATTTTTAAGCAATAAAATGAGACAGACATGCTTTAAAAATTCTGCTAAAACTGGCTTATAATCAGCTTATGTATGTGAGAGGGTAAAGCATTTGTAGTCTAGATGCACCAGAGAAGGACACTGTTTCAAATGAGGCAATGCGCCTAGCCTGTGGCACCCAGCTTACAAAAGGTCTACTGAGTGGCTGGCAGAACAGCAATGAGCTTTCAAAACAGCTGAAAATTATCAAGGAAGGGGTCTAAGATAGTTTATTCAAAGCCAGTGAAATGTTCAACTGAAGAAATAACAAGCAAATAGACTTTTTACATATTTGTTCTGTAACAATCACATCCTAATGAGTAAGGCTGTTATACCAGGAAAACTGATATCAACACTCAAATCAAGAGAAGCTACACTTGGAATATACACACCTAAAATTGACAACTGAAGCTTAAAAATTTATTGTAAAACATTATAAAAAAATCTACCTTTGAGACGCTCTAATAAATCAATCTGTCCAGAAGATGTCATAGCTTCATCTTCAATACTTCCTTGTAGTTGTTTAAGTACTTCCTGTAAAAAACAACACAATATATGAACATGACAAAATTCTAAAAAACTTCTTGAAGACATGATGCTAAGTTTCTTGGCACTTAGGTATGATAGGGAAAAAAATTACTTTAGATTAATCTGAAAACATATCACAAGTGGTAAAACACTCTACATATATTACCTATTATTAAGGATAATAAATTATATCCCAACAATAATAATAGTGATGTTTTGTGATAACGGTGATTATGAGGAGTCTCCTTACAAGACACTATATGGAACACTTAAGATATATTAACTTTTATAACCATACAACATGTGATTATTCTCATTTTCAGATAAATCAACAGAGCCTCAAAGACTTAGCCAAGTTATTGAGCAGCGAATTTATTCAGGGAACATAGG